GTGAACCGAGAACCGGGATCATATACCATGTGGCATGCCCGTGACCCCACCAACAGGGAGGCCACTTGAAGAGCCAGCTTTGACCAAACCAGTAAACCTCTCTCAAAGCATGCAGCAGTGGGCCATGCTGCCAATGCTTGCAGCTTCCAGCTTTGATGGTGGCAGAGGCCGAGGCCGCGCTTGTGAGTTTTTGCCTCGGTTGCCCTGCCGGCACATCTCATCTGCACGTCAATTAACGGTCAGAAGGTCGGTCAGGTGCGGCAACCCTGGGCGATCCAAGCAGTGATCATTCTTCCAGCTTGCGCAGAACTTCAGCTTGAACACAATGCCGCTCACAGCTTTGCCCGACCATCATCATGCAGAGGATGCAAAGTAGATGGCAGCCTCAGAAACTTAGGCCTACACCCTACCTGCGATCGAGCTTGCTAGGGCTGCTAGGGTAGACTGTATAACCGTCTAGCAAAGACGTCTCGCTACGCATTGCTGCCATGGTGAAGGGAGCGAGCAAACAGCAAGCGCAAAGAGCCGTCAAGAAGGTCCATGTCAAAGGCAACGGCAAGAAGGACAAGAAGTCGGGGAACCAGGACACCAGTACGACGACCGAGGAAGATCAATGGTACACCGCCTCGCATGACATGACCGCGTTGCGTCGCATGATTCAGGAGTGGACGGGGGAGCGAGATCTGTCATGCCTGGACTTGTTCGGAGCCTCAGGAGCGGTCAAACGGACATGGGCTCAGCACAAGAAGAAGGCCGAGCTCTACGACATCAAAAACTTCGGCCTTGCGCACGACATATGCAGCGAAGGCGGTTTCAAGAACCTCTTGCAGCTCGGCATGAGGATCAAAGCTGGAGGTATCATCGTCGCAGGACCTCCCTGCTCGTTGTTCATCTTCCTCTCCTCGCCAATTCATCGTCGGAGTCCTGAGCGACCCTGGGGGAACACAGACTATCGCTCGGTACGACTCGCCAACTTCATCGTTCAGAACATGACGACTTTCTTGCAGCTGATGTCGGAACGAGGGGTGGAGTGGGTCATTGAGCAGCCTTCCGGTAGTGGCATGTTCCGGCTCCCTCCGCTGCAGCAGCTGATCAGCAAAGTCGCAGCTTCCCAAGTAACGACCTACATGGGATGCTTCGGCCATAAAATGATGAAGCGGACAATGCTTGTGGGCACGTTGCCTCTCTTGCGCAACATGGAACGGTCTCTGCGAGGTGAGGAGCGTCAGCGCTTTCGAGAGATGCAGAAGAACTTCTACGTCCGATGCGATGGCAAGGTGAGAGGCGAGAAGGCCTTGCAAGCAAGTGCAGATTACACGAACGAGTTTTGTGAAGCATTGTACAGCTGTTGGCTTTCCAAGTAAGCACATGGAAAGTCCCGACATGTTTTTTCGTTGCCTCAACAGTGCGGGCTGACCCCAGCCGAAGCAGGGGAAACTGTTCAACAGTGAAGCGCTGGATCTCTTCCCCAGCAGGGACACTGCTGAGCAGTTGAGAGCTGTGGCAAGGGCCGCGAAATCCCGCACAGGGTCCCAGACGCATTATATATATATATATATAGGATTCTGAAGCTCGATGCCTTTTCAAGCAGTTTCAATTTTGGTAGACTTTGGGGTCGATGCATTGCGTTAAGGAAGATGGAAAGGCACCGATCAGAGCGCTACCCGTCAATGCCTGCAGCCGGATGCTTGAAACGGCCAACGTGAAAAAAGCACTGCTCCTCTGACTATCATGCCTCCTCCTCGTGTGGCGCTTTTGCTCAACGCATTTGCTGAGCGTCGCTGTATGCTCGTAAATCTCTGGGGCAGGTGAAGCTCGCCGGCCGTTTACTGAAGCCGAGCCGAAGCCTGCATGTACAAATGAGTAGCTGAGTCCGCATGCAAATCCGCGACAATGCAGAGAAAGCCGAAAGTGGTCATGCAGAGCCATTGCTGCAGCGTCAAATCGGAGCGTTTTGCGATCCAGAAAAAGGGGTGCCATCTGGCTTCGTATCAGCCTCTGCATCCACCACTCTCTCTCTCTCTCTCGCTGCCTGCCCCCATCAGCAGCAAACATGCTATGGCAGGACGACGACGAGGAGAAGCTTTTCCTTTTTGTCCAGAATCAGAAGGCACCTTTGTGGAAAGTAGAAAGTGGACCCGAAGACCTGCGCAGTGCTAGGTCATGGGTGCGCAGGAGCTGGCTGTGGCCTCAGACCATCTTAGCTTTCTGACGGTGCCCCGTCGCTCTCTTTCCTGGCCCGCCGAGGCACGAGTGGAGATTTCCTCTACAGCCGTGAAGAAGCTGTTGAAGGCACGGTGGCGACTTGATGGCAGGCTGAAGCCCAAGCAGGAGCACAGTCTTGTGACGTCTAGAAATCTCAGCTGGGCTCAAGACCGGTTTCCTTTGCAATCATGGTTATGATGGTGGATGCGGTCGAAAGCGGAGACAGTGAGGTGACTGCGCTTGTTCCGGACTCAGTCGGCCTGGGGTTTCAAGATATGTTTGAGGTCATGTCACTTATGTCTTGCCCTTGCGCTTCTGTAAAGGTGCAGCAACTCAGCAGCTCCAAACCACGCGACCGGTGGAAGGCCGCGGCCGCTTTAGGAAGGATGGGAAAGCAGGTTTCCGATGTCGCTTCGCCGGAGTTGCTGCGATGTCTCGACGATGACGACCAAGACGTCCGCTGTGCTGCGGCACGAGCCGTCGGGCATGTGTGCGATGGCTCTGCAGTGGACCTCCTGACAACGCTGCTCGTCATCCTGTGTGTTTGCAGAGTGCTTTAAGGTAAAGACGGCAAAGACGGTATGCTGTGTAAAGGGCTCCTCGAGCAGAAATTGTCACACACTGCGACCTGGGCTCTTTTCAGGGGCCCTGCACCGAATACAATCTTCCTTCGTGAGAGGATGCACTCGAAGATCTGAGTTCGCTCCGATCGTGGATTTCAGCCGAGGCTCCTCGAGGACGAGGACGGCGGCGTTCGTTGGGGTGCGGCAGAGGCTTTGGGCAACATTGGTGCAGCATCGGCGTCTGCCATGGAGGCCCTGATCCTAATTACAGACGACGAGGAAGAAGACGCCCGGCAGGCAGCTGTGCAGACCCTGGGGAAGCTGGCCAAGTTGAACGTCATCCGCCGAGCAGAGCTGGTGGAGCCTTTGTGCCAGGCATTGTCCGATGACGAGTGGAGTGTCCGCAGGGCAGCTGCGGAGGCTCTAGGAAGGTGTGGGGATGAAGCTTCCGGAGTGAGGCTGCTCCTCCAGCGAGTGGCGAGGGCCGATCCTCACGCACGTGTGCAACAAGCCGCGGCATCGGCTTTGGTGGCGATAGCAAACAGCCCACCTGCGGCTGAAACGAGAGAGCCTACAGGTGCTTGAAAAGGAGCATAGAGTCTCAAGCCATTAAGCCCCAGTGTGAATGCCAAGCAGCCATGTTCTGCCCTGCACCATGTCCAGTGTAGGCTCCAGGGGTGATGCGCACCCATCCCTTTGGGTGCTTTGCCAGGACAGTGAAAAGCTGAAAGGTCCTCAACAAGTTCTCCAGTGGGATTCCAACTACTTCCCCACGAGCTTCCCGTCGGTATCTCAGTCTCGGCTTTGCAAGCATGTGACACCCTTTCCGAATGTTCGTTGTCATGAAAAGCACGAATCACAACTTCCTTGGATGCTGCTGCTACAACTCGCAATTTTGCCACCGTTACCTGCCTTGACCTTGACCGTTCGCCCCTCAAGTTCTGGTGGACCCAGGCTCATCCCGAGAGGGCAGATCTGGATCACTGCTGCCGCAGCCTCATTTCGAGTGTGGACCTGCGTACCTTCACATGCACATGTAATGTACATGTACATATACGTGCTGCATACCGATCTACCTAACCTACCTACCTACCTACC